GGCGGCGGGCTATCTGCGGGGGGGGGGGGGGGGGTCAGGTTGTTGGGGATTGGAGGATCGAAGGTACCGGTCAGACATGCGGCGGCTGGTTTGGGTGAGGTCTTGCGGGTGTTGGGTGTTTGTGTGCTGCTGAACGGCTCTGCTGTTGTGGCGGAGCCCATCGTAGACCCAGTGTTTGCCCAACATTCGGCCATGCCCCCGCCGCCGCCGCCGCTGCTGCTGCGACGCAGTGGCAGCACCGTAATAGCAATAGGTGCGTGCGCGCAGGAGCCGCAAGCGACCAGGATCCTCGGTTGCTGCTCGGGCCGCTGGGGCGCAGCAAAAGCGGCGGGGCCGGGTGTCCCTTGCGTGGCTGGTGTGGTGCTGGGGTGCTAGGCACCCTAAAACGTGAGTCACCCCACCTCTGTCATTTGCGCCTTCGACTTTGCGCCCACGTGGACATTCAGGTGATGGATGCCCAGCGCGCGGAGGGGGCAGGCCGCCAGCAGCAGCACCAGCAGCAGCGGCGGCGCCGCGATCAGCGGTCGCAGCGGCTGCATGGTGCGACGCTGCGGCACGGCGTGCCGCTGCTTGTGTGAGGCCTGCAGTAGCAATGCTCCCCAGGACGGTGTGGTGGAATCTAGATACTCTATGAATCACACGTCGAGCTCTCTGCTAGGCTTCTAGGCGTCGTGATCAAAGAGAGGTTGGTGACTGTAGGCACTGATCTAACGTCGTTGCATGCCTCAGTGTTGCTCTCAGCGGTTAAGTTTGCAGGTGATGCAATCGAAATAATTTTTTTTTGACGTGAACCTTCGTCATAGAGGACATCAAGCGCATCGGCACTGATCACCCCGGCACCAGGATCCCCGTCATTTGCCGCACCTTACCAGCGAACCATGAGCAATCCTCAAGAAAAAAGGCCCTTTGACCGATCTCAGGCGCCAGGCGCTTCAGCAGACGCGGCTGCTGCCCCGCCGCCCTTGGTCCCGGGGGTGGCACCAAATGTTGCGCCGCCCGTCGCACCGTCTCAACCGACCACGCCCCACTTGGCAGCACCGCAAGTTGCAGACCAGGGCGGCGCGAGCGACACAGCTGCGGTGCTGAGGGCCGCGCTGTCCGGCGTCGTCGATAAGCCCTCGCTGTACCTGGTCCGCGCAGCACAAGCCACAACGTGAGCGGCGCCACAACGGGGCCGCGCGGGGGCCACCACCAGTGGCGCAGGCTGCTCGCGGGGAGCGCTGTGAATGACAGCTCTCCAAACTGCCCGCTTTGACTGCATGCCTCCACTTGAAAGCAGCTGTCTGCCGGGCAATATCACAGCCCGCATACTACCGGCGCGAAACCGTGAACCCCGCCCCCACCAACGGCCGATGTTCACTCGTTTAGCCAGCAACAGCCTCGCCAATCAACACCCCACCGGCTCCCCAGCTTGCGCCAGCTCAAGGCCGCGCGCAAGCAGCTGCGCGACTTTAACACAACGGCCCGCGTGCAGCTGGAGGGGCAGATGGCCGACCTCGAGGCAGCTGCCGCGCAGCTGGCGGGGGCGCGCGCGGACCTGGACGCCGTCGGCGAATTCCTCAGGTTCTTGGGGGCTGGGGCGAGGCTGCCTTGGACGAAGTGGACCAGGTCCCAGGACTCAGGGTTGCTGGGGCCAACGCGCATGGCGCTCGCCGCGCAGCTGCTTGGCAGCTTCGATGGCAGGAGAGCGCCCGCCCTGCGAAACATGGGCGCACGCCGCGTGCCCCGCCGAGCGCTCAACCCTGCGGCCCCGCTGCCTGACCCGCCGCCCAGGTTACGCAAGCAGCAGCTGCTGGCGCTGCACCCAGACCTTGCTGAGACGTTCAATGCACAAATTGATGATGATGACGGCGGCGGCGGATGAGGATGGCATGTTGCTTTGTTTTGCGATAGAGCCCAGATAGAGGTTTAGGGTTCAGGCTTCAGTCAGGGTTCAACCCTTCAGTCCCACCGCCCCGGGAGACGGCTGGGTAGGCGCCTTGCTTCACGAACGCGAGCGGTGGCGGCGGGCTGCGGCTGCGGCGGCGGGCTGCCTGCTGTCACCTGCTCGCTCGCGCCAGCACGCCCCGATGGGCGCGGGCATACATTGGATGGTCTTTACTTATTGGCCGCCAGGTCGGCGGTAAGGCATGCAGTAATAAGGGGATGCAGGAAGGGTCTGTGAACGAATGGAATCGAAGTGTCTGCAGGCCTGCCTTGCGGCAGGCTGGGGTTGTTTATTGTGTGTATTTGTGTGTATGGGGGGGGCGTCGCAGCCCAGAAGGGGGCCAGGCAAGGGGTTGAACCAGCTGCGCGTATGCGGGCGACAGCGGCAGCTGCCGCGAGGGCGCACGTGGCGCCAACAGGAGGGAAGCTCGGCCTTAGGGGCCGAGAGGGGCTGCACATTGGACGGAATGTACATTGACAGCGTGGTGCGACAGCCACAGTGGAAATGGATGGCCCCACGTGGGGCAGTGAAGGGGTTATTAGCCGCATCCGTGCACACAGCTGAAGCTGCTGCACATCCCAGCCTGTTGAGGATAACAAATCAACCGGTCAATCAATGTCGATGCTCGGCACAAGGATAGTGCGCTAACTACAATCAGAACAGCTCGCAGCCACAGAGGGCGGCCTGCCACTGCCGCCGCAGCCGTCCGACGGCAAGCCGCGTCCAGGTGCGCCATGAAAGTGTCCTCGTAACGTGACGGCATGCGTGATGACGCGGTGCCGACAGCATCACCACATGACGGCGTGCGGCTGACGTCATCACCACATGTTGCCCCACACCAGGTGCCCGAAGAACCGCCCCCTCACCGGCCGGTAGGGGTCCCCCACAAACCCGTACCCACGGTTGCCCCTCGCGTAGTTGGCGGCGTTGGCCACAATCCGTGCCATCTCGGTGCCGTTTTCGGAGGAGCACGCGCCCTTGGCGTAGCAGCGCGCGGTGAGGGCCGACACCATTGGGGCGGCCATGGAGGTGCCGCTCATGTAGGCGTAGGGGCCCCAGGGGACGCACTGGATGCTGTAGCGGCCGCAGGCGCGCTGGGACCACGTGCTGAGGACGAGGCGGCCTGGGGGCGGCGGGACGAGGGTGGGTGGGTGGAGACGGGTTGGTGGGGATTTCACGCAAGGAGGAGGAGTGGCACAAGGCCGGCCGTGGGGCTGCAGACAGCGGGGTCTTCTTGTCTGCCCTGGCAAGGAGCCTGGTGTCAACAAGAAGCAGCGGTCGATGAGATCTGTGGTGCCAAGGGGGGGTGAGCGACCGGCGACCGGCGACCGGCCCTGCCCCTTGCGACTCCCAGGGCCTATGCAGGGGCCCTTGCCCAGAAGCACCGATGAGGTTGGAGGGCTGGCAACACGTCGCAGCGCCCACGGGCGGTTTTGCGCACCTGGCGCTGCCACGACGCGGTTGGCAGAGTAGGCCTGCGCAAAGTTCGAAAAGTCGGTGTATGTGTCGTCGGCGTTGACCATGTCCGGCGGCGTCGACGCACCGCCCGGCTTTCCGTCGTAGTCTGTCATGGAGGTCACGGCCAGGGCGTTGGCGCAGTCGGGGGGGGACGTGTTGTACATGCTCTCACCCTTGTTGCCTGCGGGTGGTGGTGGGCGTTGAGGATTGAGGGTGTCCATTGGTGGGTGAAGAAAAAGGGGAGGGAATCAGTCAGGTGGACAGCGAGTGATCGATTGGACGAGGCAACAGACTAAAACATAAACATCCAGCAGCGGTGTGCCACTCCAGACGCTTGATGCACCTCAACGCTGTTGCTGGTGGCGGTGGGAAGCCACTCTGCAGTACACACTCGAGGCGAGGCGCTGCGCGGCCGCAAAAGGCCTGACGCAAACCGCTGCCGGCACGGAGCCTGCGGCGCGGCGGGCTCCGTGTGCCCAGTCAACAGCGGTCAGCGGCGGCGGCGCCTCACCC